GGATCGCGGACGTCGTCCCAGACCCACCTATAGACATGGTTCATAGGGAGTCGTTGAAAATATGTCACAAATTCTTACCGATAAACACGATGGCTGCAATTCCTTTGATGATAGCATGCTTGTTCTGCTCGGTTTCTTCAGGTCGTAATTCCGCTCTGAGAGAAGCGGATAAAAAGGATGGTTCTTCCTTTCCTTCAGCCTATCCATAGTTAGGAGTTAATGAAGGTCACGCAGGGTTAGTCCATCACTTACCATTAACTGCCGCACGCGGTCGAATGGAGCGTCCAGGAAGTGATCCGCCAAAGTATCCCAGTACTCCTTAGGTTTAGAGAAAATGGGACCAGGCAGCAGCGGTTGGATCAGTGTTCTGATTACCTTCGGGATTCTATCCATCGCCACCATGGACGGAACAGCGCATTGGCAAAGGTAACCGGTAATTTGTTTCGCCAATGCAATATATGGGTCACCTTCTTCTTTAATCTTAAAGCCGTATGCGACTGAGTATAAGATTCCGCCAATTGCACTATTCGGAGCGAGCATTTAGAGAATATAGCTAAAAATGTCGTTGAATATTAACTTACTGCGTAATGTGTTGCAAGTGGTTTTTTGGGTCCTCAGACATCCGTTGCAGGAGGCGGTGGATGTGCTGTTTCTCCTGGGGTTTGTGAATGGTCAGAGTGGAAGGGTGAAAGTATCGCTGAAAATGTCGACGCCTTTCCTTCCACTCTGCACCATAACGCATGAAAGGCATCAGCCACGACCACCCCAAGCTATTAAACCAACTATCGAATAAGAAGAATTTCGACAGTGACTAAATTTATACTGACATCTCGTTGATTGCCGTGAATTTCGTTCTGGAAAAGTCGACGATTGTTAAGTAAAGATCGTGAGCAGAGCAGGACCTAGATACCTATTAGAATATATGGACGACCGTTTTTCCAAAAGGTCCTTGGTGGCTTTTACAGAATTTAAAACAACAATGGAGGTGCCAGCCATGTTAAGATGCACGATGTCGCTGTCTGGAAAATGGTATTCTGTAATTAATATTGATTGGAGAGACAGAAGGGGGAGACCCACTGTGTTCTTTACCCCAGCATTGAAATGCTTCCCATTCTCGTTTCTGGGGCATATCAAAGACATTCCCAATGATAGGCCATCCCCTGGGACCGGGCGGCAGGGGAAGTCTGGATTTCTTCAGCCAGAAAGAACACGAGAAAACAAGAAATAGACATAACAGGATGCCCTCAGATGTGCAAAGGGATTCAAAAGACAGCGTCATTATGAAGTAGAGTGTGCACTTTGTCAAGACCTGGGACTTTATACTCCCAGCCACGCGAATGCAAAATGAGACTACATCGCCCACCACGTGTCCCCCGAGTCTTACGAGAAGTAGAAGAGCCCAGTAAGTGTTGTGATCATCATCAGAACCACGAACAAAGGTAAGCAAGACGAGAAAAGGAAGTTAAATATCTGGATGTAAGTGAGCCATTGATATCCGCAGGGTCTCGATGAAATCGCCAGATGCGATGCCATTATGACCATGAGTTGGGTCATCAGCAAAGTCAAGACGCTTCGTTGCGATAGCCATGGAGTAGCTCATGCCGCCGAAGTACTTGATAAGCTTTCAGATGTCGAAGTATGCTTTATTTCATAGCTCTAAAACCCAGAGATGTCGGACAGGTAGCTGACAAGTGGTCGCAGTGATGTGACCTATTGTAGATTATTTGCCCGGAGATTATGTCGTGGAACATCGTCGCGATCGGCATAGAACCGAAAACTCAAAAGTACATCCTTCAGGAGGTCTGATAGAGAATTTAAGCTAGAAGGATAGGCACATTGGACGTGGTTCAAATTAAGAGCCAGCGTCAGGGTTTTTGTTTATCTCACCAACTGCTGCCAAATAATAGCGATCACATTGGTATCAGTCACGGTCATATAGTGATGAGCACTTTTCAACTCCGTCCTTCTTCCACGACGATGTCGAGCAGCACGGCGCTCAAGACATTCTCGCTGACGAATGATGTTCTTGAGATCTCACCTCAGGACGAGATCTACCGCTTTGACGCCGAATACAATCGGAATATAAACCGTGAAGCACCGTGGAGCTCAGAGTATGGTTCACGCAATTTAGGGGAAGAGTGCAAAACTGATTACGCATAACAGCCCTCATTACTTCAAGACATGTAAAATTTCGGCCATTTCTTTGATCAAGATGGTAAGAGACACGAATATGCATCTTTGAATCGATAGATAACACAACGATGACTAGGTGATTCACGCGAGGTCTGGTGTGCCCTACGAGATTATGGGCCTTATGCAAGGCAAAGTTGTCGGAAACTCGCTCGTCATCATGGATTCTTTTGCTCTACCTGTTCAAGGAACAGAAACACGAGTCAATGCGGCCAACGAGGCAAATGAGTATATGGTTGAGTACATCAGTGGGAGTGAGAAGGTGAGTCGCTCTTTGTTGTCTTGTCCGTCCTTCTGAGCCCAACCTTGTTTTAGGCTGATAGGCTTGAGAACGCCATTGGGTGGTACCATTCACATCCAGGTTATGGGTGCTGGCTTTCGGGAATCGATGTGAACACTCAGATCAACAATCAGAAGTTCCAGGATCCCTTTGTTGCAGTTGTGGTACGTGATTGTATTATCGATGAAGGATAGGTCATGACTCATTGCGTAGATTGATCCCAACCGGACCATCTCTGCTGGAAAAGTTGACATTGGAGCATTCCGTACCTACCCCGAAAATTATACCCCCCCTCATGTCTCTCCCTCGGAATATCAATCCATTCCACTTAACAAGATCGAGGATTTTGGTGTTCACGCGAATCAATACTACCAGCTTGAAGTTGAGGTATTCAAGTCTAGTCTTGATAATGACCTCCTCGCGTTACTTTGGAACAAGTACTGGGTGAACACTTTGAGCCAAAGCCCTTTAGTCTCTGTAAGATTGTGGGTTCTCTCGTTCTTTGCGCTCACAACTAAATACCACTTTTAGAATCGGGCATATGCAGTTTCACAACTTTCTGACTTGCAACAGAAACTAGCCAAAGCGACTAGCTCAGTGGCAAGTACTCGACCCGTTGTACCAACCTTGAAGGAAAAGGAGGGGGCCACGAAGGTAAATGACCAAGTACACGAAAAACCAAGTGCTAATACGTTATGAAATGATAGCAGAAGGACAAGGACGAGAAGAAGAAGGATGATAATCAGTTGGCAAAGAGTGTCAAAGACAGGTGCGCTCCCATTGTGTCGCTTAAGCCACCACCATTAATCAGTCTGTCGCAGCACCAAAATTGCGGTTGAAGCTCAACACGGCCTGATTGCACAAGTAATCAAGGACGTTATTTTTTCGAGGCGCCCAAATTCTGGCGCTAATGCTGAGGCTCAGAGGGTGTCTGACGTTACAGAGATGGCGATCGGTTAAAGTCTGGTTTTCTAACAGTGTATTTTTGTAATTTTTCTGCTTTCACTTTCTGAGCACCTGTCTACGTCGTGTAATACTAGATTTTTGAGGCCTTTTATTAGCTCAATCAGTCTGAGTCTTCATTCAATACCAGCTGAACAGTGGAAGATAGGGGTGAAATTAAGCCGATGCCGAGATGCCGTGTGTGAGCGACAAACAAACGTCCAAATAAACCTCCCCGCTCGACGATCCACACAACCATCGCTAATCGCCTCAAGACACCTTCCATCGACAACGTGAGTACCTGAAACGCTGCCTTTATGCTGTTGGAACGTCCTATGGTGGAATTGTAGAGAAAGGAGGGAAGAAATCTTGTTGGATGGGATGGATGTCGGGGGGTTGGAACGGATGAACTTTTTTCTGGCGACATCACACCTGCAACTTCAGATGTTAATCTTTACTTTCCTTCAGAATGGGCCTGCAGGAATTTCAAGTCGTCGGCCGCCACGTCCCCACTGAGGCTGAGCCCACCCCCAAAATCTACCGTATGCGCATTTTTGCGCCCAATGAAGTCGTCGCCAAGTCCCGCTTCTGGTATTTCCTGAGGTCTGTCTCTTGCATAGCCCTTGGTATCTTTCGTGCTCATGATATGGACAGGCAACTTAAGAAGGTGAAGAAGGCCAGTGGCGAGATCATTGGCGTCAACGTTGTATGTATCATTCTGTTGAAGTCCCTTGCAGCCCTCAAGAGGCAGGCGGAATGGGAATGCTGACTTTAGGGCTCTCGCGGTGCATTTCTTGTTCGCATTGGCTATTTATTTTCTAGATCCACGAAAAGAAGCCTTTGAAGGTCAAGAACTTCGGCATCTGGCTCCGCTACGACTCGCGCTCCGGTACACACAACATGTACAAGGAGTTCCGTGACCTCAGCCGCGCTGATGCCGTCAAGAGTCTCTACCAGGACATGGCTGCCAGGCATCGTGCCCGCTTCCGCTCCATCCACGTAAGTTGATTTTGTTCCTACGGGATACTGTGTGTTCATCTTCTTGTAGATTCTCCGTGTGGTTGAGATCGAGAAGACCGACGACATCCGCCGCCCCTACATCAAGCAGCTAATCACCCCCGGACTCAAGTTCCCCCTCCCCCATCGTGTCGCCAAGTCCAACGCGACCTTCGTCGCCAACCGCCCCGCTACTTTCTAAGGCGTTGCTTGGTGTGTTTTATTCCTGTCTTGGGGATTTTAGCGTCATGTATAAAATGGTATGATCAATTTATGTATATGATTCATGCCTTCACTTGACGATGAAATGTGTGATTTGAGTTAACAAGGCAAAGCCTCTCGCCTTTGACCTTCCAATGGCTCAAGTGATTTACGCCTTCTAAGACAACGATTTGTGTTTAAGTGGTATAATAGTATTCAAGAATAAGATAGATTCAGGTCGTTCTCAGAAGTCGGAAAGTTGAATTCACTGTAACCGAGGCCATTGCTGATCTGGTGCATGCCAGTCTGACAGCGACAAGGCCATCAGCGGTTACAAGAATTTCTACCCTTGAAACCCCTACTGAAGCTGTATCTAGCCTTAGTTCACAAGTCTCTGTTAGTATATCGGTTAGTACACGCGCCTGTCAAGCTGAAAACCAGCCATTGAACGCGCGAAAGCTGGGTTCGACTCCCAGACAGAGAGACAAATTATTTTTTTTGCCGTGATCAAGTATTTGCGCCCTCCGTTGTAGGTACCGACTTATGCTCATAAATATGCATCTTAAATTTTACTGCTTCGTAGGTGACGCTATGAAGTATTTTTTGCAATAGATGATAAATATCGTTATGAGCGTAGAGTGGCTGTGCAGCGCCCATACCACCGTTTTGTGATAGAAGATAGTACTGCTAGGGCTATAAAGCTGCACGAGATTATTAGCTCTATTTCTACACGATTAACTATCAAAACGACTCCATGCACTCGTGTTTATATTCCCAAGGCCAGCCTTAGGCATCGATGATTGCTCTGAAGGCTCGAAATCACTTCGCCTTCGCTTTGGAATTGCGACCCAGTACCTGTCACAACTTATAAGTGGGCGGTATTGGAGAAAAGATCCCACTGAGCTTCCCCGTTATGTTTGAATGCTTTCGACGTGCATGGTCGTCAATTACGAGCTCAGAGCTTGGGTCTACTCTCGTCAGGTTCACTCATTCTCAATGCTGCTTCCTTCTGAGAGCCCTTCGGGACGTGAGTCGCCGCTAATGATAACGAGAACGTCGACGATTATGCGATTTTATGTCTGCTTTATTTCTCTCTTTTGTTAAACGGCGAACATGACAAGTAATAGATTCACCGTAGGATTTGTGGGTCTTTAATGTACAGATGGTATCGTCCAAGCTGCAAGCGCTTAACCCGACTCTCACGCTGTTTGTTTTTTGATTGTTGCACATTGACTGGACCTCGATTGACAGTATACATTGAGTTTCGTGATATAAATTTGTTTCGAATGTTCTTAGTGACATCCGGCATACCACCAAGTCCCTACCCATGGTCCCATTCTTTTTCACAGGCCTCAAACATCCGCAGTGCCAGGACTGGGATCTTGTGACCATTTCAGCTCTATCGCCTCCCAGGATATCATCATCTATGCCGAAGGCTAAGCGCAAAAGATGCCAGTGACGCAAGTCTACGCATCTAAGCGACGTATTTTTAAAGGTTGCTTGATAATCATTCGATGCTAGAAGCTTCTTTCTCTAGATAACGCTTGATTTTCTTCAAGGAATTAGTCATGGATACAGTTCTATAAATTGAACGAGTTGAAGAAGAAACTGAAGTCATCTTTCCTATCCCTCGTATCCACCTCACTCTTCACATAACGAGTCAAAATGTCTCTATGGACTACTCCTCCTGCGCCACCCACCGGCCTCGGTCGCTATCGAGTACTCTCTCCAAGAGCTGGCGTGCGTGTGTCGCCATTGCAGCTCGGGGCCATGAGTATCGGTGACAAGTGGGAACAATTTGGAATGGGGAGCATGAATAAAGAGTCGAGCTTCAAGCTCCTGGACGCTTATTACGATAATGGAGGAAATTTCATTGATACCGCCAACAATTAGTAAGTAATACTCCGGATTTGCTAATAGTTTTTATATCTGACGTGCAATTTCACCGACAAGCCAAGACGAATCTTCAGAAGAATTCATAGGGGAATGGGCAGAAAAGCGTGGAATCCGTGATCAGCTGTTTATCGCAACGAAGGCAGGAACCAGACTTCGCTTGTTTTAGATGGACTATCACTGATGATTGGTCATGGCTGCAGTATTCTACCAACTACAAACGAGGCAGTAAAGACATCGCCCAGAAGATCATGTACACGGGGAATAACGCCAAGTCACTTCATCTGTCCGTCGAGGAATCGCTCAAGAAGCTGAGGACGAATTACATCGACCTCCTCTATATTCATTGGTGGGACTGGGATACTAGCGTGGAAGAAGTTATGCAATCGTTGCATACCCTGGTTGCGCAACGCAAGGTCCTTTACCTCGTGCGTACCTAGCAGCTTAATCTATTCTCGAACCCCGCTGAGCTAAAAGTATCTTAGGGCGTATCTGATACACCTGCCTGGGTTGTATCCAGGGCTAATCAGTATGCAAGAGACCATGCTCTGACACCTTTTGTCATCTACCAAGGAGCATGGAACATCATGGAACGCTCTTTCGAGCGAGACATTATCCACATGGCCGTCTCTGAAGGTAAGTGCTACAATTTCGTATATGAGGGTAGCGTGCTCATCCAATCGAAGGAATGGCGCTTGCTCCCTGGAACGTTCTCGCTGCTGGAAAGATTCGCAGTGACGAAGAGGAGGAGAGACGTCGGCAAACCGGAGAGAAAGGTCGAATGACATTCAATCCGGAATGGGAAAGGACAGATGAGGAGAAGAAAGTGTGTCAGGCTCTCGAAAAGGTCGCTGGGGAGATTGGTGCAAAGCACATCACTTCTGGTGCGCATCCATCACGAGAAATTGATGCATGTTAAACTCATGGCTGCATTTTCTAGTCGCCATTGCATATCTCATGCACAAGACCCCATACGTCTTCCCCATTATCGGAGGAAGGAAGGTCGAGCACCTGCTGGCCAACGTCGAGGCTCTCGAAATATCTTTGAGCACAGAGCAAATAAAGTACCTTGAGAGCGTTGTTCCTTTCAACCCAGGATTCCCCAACTCGATGATTGTGAGTACTGTTTGCTCAGAAGCTGGTTGCATGATGGCTTACTGCGCTGGACAGGGTGATGGCTCGACCACGAGCAGATTCGTTAGGTTCACCGGAAATGTGGACGACAAACCATCGCTACGTCCCGTTCTCCACGGGCAAGATGGCCAGGGAAATATCAAACAATAGTCGTCGGATAATTGCAAAGAAGGGTATCATATACGTGTATATCAGTGCTGTGGAACAAAGCTTCGATCTTTCGTATGAGATTTTAATACCGCTCGCCAAAATTAAACGCCTGCACTCCAGTGAGTCTCGTACCAGGGTCCTCAATTGCGGAAGCGTATTCCTCCGGATCCACCTCGCAAAACAATCGAACCCTGGGCAAAGAGGCTATGATTGCCCTCCGAACTTCCGAGAGCAGCGCCAACCTCGACGCGGCGGGCACCAATGAGAGAGAAACGAGGTTCCATGTCTCTAAGTGATCGAATACGTCGGGGTCGGTCACTTCGAACTATTTGAAGAATTAGCTTGTACAAAATATTATCGCGGAAAATTAACAGACCGGAGATTCTATTTCAGGCAAGGACTGATTCTGGGTTAGCGGAGGCATATAATCGAAGGTACGAGCAAAGTTGAGTGTAAGATCTTTCAAAGCTGGGAGGTTGGCCGCAAAATGCCCAACGACTGTCGGACTGAGGCAATCCACACGGAGGTTTAGAGATTGAAGGACGTGCGATCCATGCAGACATCGCAGCAGCTCCAAAATTTCTGCGTATTGCATGGCGTTGACTTGAAGTCGTAGAGACTGCAGCGTTGAACGGTATCGTTCCAAGTGATGGACCATACTCCTGAAAGAAAAAGCAAAGCGGGGTACAACAGACACTGTGAGGCGGGTAATTTGAGGGAAATCGAGCAAGGTAGCGTTGGACGCGTCAATGAACCACTGTGGGGGGTGGTCGTGAATAAAAGGACTTCCTCGCATATGGTATCTAAATTCGTGGAGTTGTGGTGCGTGCAACGTCATAAATTGATTAAAACCGACGCGGGATTGAGGGTCACCGTTGAGGATATGATGGGAGAGGTAAAGCTTGACTAGTTGAGGGAGATGTGGAAGGTTTTGGAGAAGAATCGATGGGTCCACCATATGGGCACCAATAAGCTCTAAGGAGAGGAGATTGCTGGCTTGGTTGGTAATAAATGGTTGAACAACAGACAACATAAAAGTTTCAGGTGTCGGCGTTTCCTTGGCAGCGCGTAGCACGACCCGGAGGTCTGAGAGTTGTGGAAGAACAGGACTGGTAGGCAAGACACGATGCAAATCTTCCAGCCCAACGTGCATGGAGAGCTTCGTCAAATTAGCACCAGATGTTTCCAAGAGAGCTCTGGTTAGGCGAATCTTCTGGGTATACTGATCATTCTGAGGAGTATATAGCCGTAAATCGATTTCTCTGATCTGAGGCATGTCAGGAACGATGTGCATCAGGGCGTCGTAGTATTGCTCTGAAGTCATTTTAGCCGCCTCTTGGTTTCTTGGATGCAGTGACAATTTGGAAAGTAGTGAACGAATCCGCCCACTACGTTCTGTTTTGACTTCAGTTGTACGGGATGGATTGCCAGGAGGCCGCTCCCAGTCGTCATCAATCAGAATAACCCGAGCCCTCTGCCTCGCGAGCTGATCTCTAAAAAATTGGAGGTTAGCTTTGAACACGGCTCGTTAGATAGACAGAGAAATCGACGCACAACAATGTTCTCCGCAAGCCATGTCTTTCAAAGTCACTCACCCGAGCGACACGATAACGCGCATCAAGCGCAAGCTGAAGAAAGTCGCGATTAACAGAATAAAGAGTCTTGACAAACTCTGCAGGCAGAAAACTAGCGATGTGTCTCCAAATCTCAACGGGGAGGTCTGGAGTCGACATGTGGTTCAAGAGAAGGGTGATAACGACCGCAATGGTGTGTCAGAAGCCTCTTACAACGAAATGTTATTCCCCGCACATTTCCAATGGCAGTTGCCAGGAGAGTGGTGGTAACGCTCAGAGCTCCCTCCCACTGCCACAACAATTCATTTGGTGGGAAATATGCTGAGTCACTAGTCCATTGATGTGGCCCCTATGTCTATGTCACCGATAGACTCAAGGGAGGGGTTTTACCTGGCTATATTTACACACGTCTATGTCGGTTCACGAAGAAAGGAATAAAAGGCTGCAATAAATATTTCAGAACGAGAAGGAAGCACAAAATTACAAAACGATGAACACAGGTTGAGGGCTGGTAAAACTCGATCAAGACGATTTGACTACCCTTTGTAACTCATCGAGTCTCTGTCTAGGCTCATAATTCGTGCATACTCCAGTATCAGCCTGCAAAGGAAAATGATTCAATTTTCTGTTAATAATGTATATACTTAATGGGACGCTTACCTGAAGAAATAAGCTGTCATATCCTGCTTTCTCCAGAACGTTTTACTCCAGGTTCGACCAGCTTCTGCAATCT